AGGAAGCAGGGTGTAGGAGTAGAACTGTTTCATCTTGGTCACCAGGTCATCTGTGGAGAATGTCACGTACTCCACAAACTTCCGGTTCAACAGGAACCAATCCGAGCCGCCATCTACTGCAATGCCCTCTGGGATTCGTCGGTCTCCCAGGCGCCACATGTGTGCATCACACTCCAGGAAGAGCCGGTCCAGGCCTTGTTTCCGGATGAACCTGCAGAGAAAGTAGCTCTGAGTCCGCAGATGCCCTGTAAGAGGGAACGCCACTGGAGTCCAAGCAAGGCCACAGCCTCAGTAGGAAGAACATGGGTGGAACACCAACCACTGAAGCAGGGCTCTGGATGGAGGCAATCACACGCTCCTCACCAGTGTAGCTGGTCACTATATCCCAGCAAGGCAGGTACTCTGTTCATCCACAATCAAATACATGGCCGCCCCTGGCACACTCCTCGCCTTGGGGTGAGTACTGTGGAGAGTGTGAGCAATATAAACCACAGGCCTTTCTGGGAACTCATGGTGTGATTGAGGAAATGTCAGACAGGCACATATAACTACAGCTTAAAAGAGGGTCTAGGAATTTCAGAAAAATGAGCAATAGAGCAAGGTTAAAAGAGCCAGAATGCCTGGGCCAGCAGGTGGCATAGCAGCTAAGGCACTGGACTCCTTCATGGCTGAACGTGGTTCAAGTCCTGGACCCAGAGGCTTGAAACTCAAGCCAGGTGCTTGTGTGTTCCCCAAATCCAAAATCCTGAGAGGAGAATGGAAGGAGAAAGGACTGTAGCATGGTCAGCCTCCCTGGGGGCTGAGGGTACTTCTCACTTCCTCTCTCTGTCTCTCCAGCCAGCACACATGCTCCATAGCAAAAATCTCTCTCTAAAAAGAGCCAGGATGCTGAGAGCCCAGTGGTCAGAGATGGCTTCCCAGAGGAGGTATGAGTTAGGCTGTGAAGGCTGCGTGAAGAGGAAATGAACAGTGTAGATACAGAGAATCCTCTAAGCGAGGTGTGGAGCTTGGAGAGAGGCCAGCAGGGCTCAGGCAGGAGACCGCTGGGCCAGTGACACAGTTTGTGGTGATGGTATTTTTGCAATTGAGGTCAAATGCATGCAACATAAAATTAACCATTCTAAAGCATACAATCTGGTGGCATTTGTTCATTCATAATCTGCAAATGTCACCTCTGTCTCGTTACAAAATATCACCTCCTCCATGAAACCAGTCTGCTCAGAGTTCCAGAGCGCTCTCGCTCTGCGTTTCCATCACAGCTGGCTTCACTCTGTCTTCAGACTGGAGCTTTCTGCCTTCTGCCAGGGAGACCCTGTTTGCAATAAGACTGACCTTGGGTTTCTCCTTTCTGCCTGCCTGAGGAGTCCTACGGCTGTGCAAGGCAGTAGCTCAGCAAAAGTCTATAGTGACAAGACATCAGGGTAGAGAAGCTAGCAGTGGTCCCACCCTGCTGGTCACAGAATTCTAGAAGGAATCCCTCCCCTTGGGCCTCCAACAAGCCACTCAAGGGAACTGCCTGAAACCTCATGAAAACCCCACAGCCCTAGCACTTCCTACCGCATGAGCAGAGGCTCTGTCTCTAGATGTTGGCTACTCGCTGAGGGTAATGGCAGATCACAATGAAGCCTTAACAACATGGGTAATGTGTAATAAAATATGATGACGATGATGCTGGTGGAAAAGGCTCTGAATTCTACTGCAATGAGTTTTTCATCTACGAGACAGTATGGCTTTACCTGTACCCTGTTGGAACACTCTGAAAAGTGAGGTGTTCTCTCTAAGCCTCAGCTCCTCCCTTGGTAAAGTGACAAGGTTAGGCTGGGTCTGGGTTGTAAGATTAAATTTCTACAGGGGTCAGACAGATAATAGAAGTGTGTGAAGCAGGCTGAGGATAAGACTATAGGGAATAGTGAAATCAGCAAAGAATGCACATTTTTAAAGGCATTTAACTTCTTGAAGAAGGTGACTCTGCCTAAGGAAGCATCTCTAGGCTCAATCCAGTCTACAGGCTGCTACTCATACTACCTTGGGTTAGATCCTTCCCAATGTATTTTCCGGCTGTGACAGTCTGTAAGTCACTCTGTTAACGCAGGAAGTGAGTGTGAGGCAGGCATCAGGTTACATATGGATACACTTAACTCAGAAAAGGTTGACGTCTGAGGACATAGAGAGGACTCATGAGGGCAGATGTCAATGGAAAGATACAGGCACCCCATGCCCCCAATCCGGTTCTTTCCCATGTCTGTGTTTTTCTTTTAAAGAAATATTTTATTTTGGGATCAGCAGTTAGCGTAATGGCTATGTCGCTGGACTCCCACGTAGTCAACTGTGGTTCGTGTCCCAGACCTGGTGGCTTAAAACTCACGCCAGGCACGTGTGTGTGCATGCCCAAAATCCCGAGAGGAGAACAGAGGAGAAGGGATTGCGACGTGGCCATCCCCCCTGGGGGGTGATTTCTCGCTTTCTGTCTCTCTCTCTGTCTGGCGAGCGAGCCCTATAGCAAAAACCTCTCCAAAAAAAAAAAAAAAAGGAATTATTTTATTTATCATTATTATTATTGCTTATTCATCATTATTATTATTGTTTAATTTGCCCAGAGAGAGAGAGACAGAGAGACACAGAGAAAGAGAGAGTGAGAGAGAGGGAGAAATTGAGACAGCTGTCAGGTCTGGGACTCAAACTGCAGTTGGCCATGTGGGAGTCTGGCACCTTAACCACCATTTCACCTGCTGGCCCTTCTAACATGTCTCTATACATGCAAAAATCCAAGCTTATCAGCAAAACCATGCTCTCTCTGGGGAAGGACTTAGCGAATGTTTTTCACTATACTTACCTTACCATATCACTCCACTAAAACGTAACTTGACTCCAACTGGGACATTAAAGAAAAGCCTTGAGTTTAGAAAAAGAAAATCCTACTTTGACTCCAGCTAGTGCTAATTATACAATAATGTCCACTTGGTGCACTTAACCATACCAAAACTTTAAAAGTTACATAATGTATATAAAAATGTACATGGTAGCCAGACTAACCGAAAGAGAGAAACAAGAAATATAGGTGAGAGGACTTAACAAATTTTTCTTCCCATGGACTGGCTTTTTAATTTCATGTTCCATTATATGGGATAATAGCATTGTCTTGCAATTTTAATGTGATGTCCCAGACCATAATATCCAAATATAATATTTATGCAGTCATCTCCAAAATGAAATATTCATGGGGTTGGGAGATTGGCTGCTGTATTTACTGCATTCAGAAATTGGTAAGCTGTAAACGCCTGCTTTGCTTAATTATGAGTAAATAGAGATGACTAATTCCCCAGGACTCGGAAATGTTTCAGGAAAGGCAGGGGCTACTGGGGACTTAGTTTTGGAGTGGGAAAAGGTGGAAGTCCAAACTCTATGCATGTACCATGGGAAAGGATTCAGCTGTTTGGGCAGGGGTCTGCTTTTACTTCTGCCCTGCTCATTCACCGTAACTTGAAAAGATAAAGTTGAAACACCAAGTAAGCCAGTCAGTAAGCATCGGGTGTGTCTTTCTGGAAGGGCTGGCTCACCAACGAAGGGTGCAGAGCCCCTCACCAGGGGATGGAACTGGTCTGCACAACTGGCTGCGTACACAGAGGGGGTCAGTGATGCTCTCCTCCCCTCGGTTTCATTTCCTGTTGATGTGCTTACCCTGCGCCCACCGGCAGGGATCTAGGTACTCATCCTGCCTCTGCAATCATGGGCTAGATGAATGGGGTTGGCTCCTCTTCTGAACGCATTTCCTCATCCGAACTTGCCCTGACAACCTCCCTAATCAGCTGCACAAGTGTGATCCGTGATGTTTCTCGAAGGGCCTTGAAAGTGTTTAGGAAGCCCTGTTCACTCAAGCAATGAACAGCCCCAACCACACTCCCTTCTTACTCTCCTATTCCTGGTATCCCCGGTCTTCCTTTCATGCTTCGTTTTTCTCTATGGTACTTCTGACTTTTGAATATTACATACAAGATATTTATCTGGTGCACTGTCTGTATCTTCTCATTCGATGCCAGCTGCTGTGTCTCTAGTGCCTAGAAGAGCCTAGTATACACTTGGTACTCAGTCAATATTCACTGACTACACGAATAAAAGAGATGGATAGCAGCCATGCCTGATGGGCATTCAAAAAGTAGCTAACCAGGGATCAGATTCTTCTAGCATGTGTTTGACAGACAAAGGAACAGAATCTCAGAAGGGTTAAGTAATTTCCCCAGAGTTGCACAGCTAAGCCTTAGACTTAAATTCAGGTCTGCTGGAGCCAACGTAAGCTTTTGACTATTCTGGCATTCTTTGCTGCCCTGATCACGAGGGTCCCTGCACAAGAGTGCAAATCAAGGCTATGAGTACTTCTATTACCTCACAAACAAACAACAAACAAACAAAAACAAAACAATGCCCAGATAGGAGAGGGAACCAATTACAAGGGCTCATTGTTGGTTTTGGAAGAGGTTTTCTGCTAGATCTCACATGGTCTTTGACCTTCAGAATAAGCTACTTGGGGTCAAAAAGGAATCATCTGTATTCAGTTTTACTTCCTGGGCTCTGAGGATGGGTAGTTTATCTTAAGATTTTTATCTATTGGTGGGACCAGCAGTTGGTGTAATGGCTATGTCGCTGGACTCCCATGTAGTTGACTGTGGTTCAAGTCCTGGACCTGGTGGCTTAAACTCACACCGGGTGTGTGTGTGTGCGTGCATGCCCAAGATCTCGAGAGGAGAATGGAGGAGAAAGGGTTGGGGCATGGCCATCACCCCGGTGGGTGATTTCTTGCTTTCTGTCTCTCTGTCTTTCTGACAAGTGCACGTGCCCCTATAGCAAAAACCTCTCCTCCCCCCCACACACACACAAAAAGATTTTTATCTATTGGCAAAAAATAGTGCAATGTCACAGGTAAGCAGGATTCTGCTGGGACCTCACAGGGACCAAATCTACTGTCTGAGCATCGATGTAAATCAGATGGGAGGTGGGGAGGGGTCCTGATTCTCTCTGAGGAGTATATTAAGAAAGCATCTGTGGTCTTTGGAAGCGATATCAGAAAAGGCAGACAATGAGAAAGTGTCTCAATTCAGTTAATTCCTGGCTGCAATCTTGGCATATTCACTGAGTGTAAAATTATTCTAGCAACATTTGTCCCATTCTATGAGTTCTACAAGGAAGAACACTGCTCCTCTGGTTTTATGGGATGTT